ATTGAAGAGGCAGACATTTTCCCAGTCTATGTTCTTGGTGCCTTTGTTGAAGGTCAGTTGGTCATTAAGTCTGTGGACTTATTTCTGGGTTCTCTATTCTGTTCCCTTGGTCCGTGTGTCTGTTTTTACATCAGTACCATCCTGCTTTGGTTACTATAGCTTTCTAGTATAATTTAAAGTCAGGTAGTGTAATGCCTTCAGCTTTATTTATTTTTTCTCAGGATTGCTTTGGCTATTTGGGGTCATTTGTTATTCCATATGAATGTTAGAATTTTTTTTTTCCTATTTCCGTGAAGAACATCCTTGGTGTTTTGGTGGAGATTGCATTGAGTCTGTACATCACTTTGGGTAGTATGGACTTTTCACAATGCTAATTCCTCCAATCCATGAGCATGGATGTCTTTCCATCTTTTCGTGTCTCTTTTAATTTCTTTCAGCAGTGATTTATTGTTCTTGTGGAGATCTTTCATCTCCTTGGTTAAAGTTATTCCTAGGTTTTTGTTTTGTTTGTTTGTTTGTTTTGGTGACTGTTGTAAATAGGCTTGTTTTCTTGATTTCTTTTTCTGCTAGTTTATTGTTAGAGTATAAAAATGCTACTGATTTTTGCATGTTGATTTTTTATCCTGCAACTTTACTGAAATCATTTACCAGCTCTAAGATTTTTTTAGTAGAGTCTTTAGGTTTTCCTCTCTATTTATAGGATCATGTCATCCACAAAAGGGAAAATTTGACTTTGTCCTTTCCAATTTGGATCCTCTTTCTTTCTCATGCCTGACTGCTCTAGCTAATATTTACAGTACTTTGTTAAATAGGAGTGGTGAGAGTGGGCATCCTTGTCTTATTCCTGTTCTTAAAAGAAAAGCTTTCAGCTTTTCCCCATTCTGAATGATATTGGCAGTGGGTTTGTCATATATGTCTTTTATTGTATTGAGATATTTTCCTTCTGTACCTAATTTTTTTAATCATTATTATTTAGAGATGTTGAATTTTGTTAAATTCTTTGTCTGCATTTATTAAGATAATCATGTGGTTTTTGTCCTTGATTTTGTTGATGTGGTGTATCACATTTATTGATTTGCATATGTGGAACCATCTTTGCATCCCTAGAATGAATCCCACTTGAGCATAATGTATAATCTTTTTGATGTACTGCTGTATTCTGTTTGCTAATATTTTGCTGAGGATTTTTGTATGTGTGTTCATCAAGGACATTGGCCTGTAGTTTTCTTTTTTGTTATATCTGTGTCTGATTTTGGTATCAGGGTGATGCTGGCCTCATAGAATGAGTTTGGGAGAATGGCCTCTGTTTCATTTTTTGAAATAGTTTGAAGAGAACTGGCATTAATTCCTCTTTAAAGGCTTGGTAGAATCCAGTAGTAAAGCCATCTGGTCCTGGGCTTTTCTTTGTTGGAAGACTGCTGATTATTGCTTCAATCTCATTGCTCATTACTGGTCTGTTCAGGTTTTCTAATTCTTTTGGTTCAGTCATGTTAGTTTGTATGTGTCTGGAAATTTATCCATTTCTTCCGGGTTATCAAATGTGTTGGCATATAGTTGTTCATAATAGTCTCTAACGACTCTTTATATTTCAGTGGTATTAGTTATAATGTCACCTTTTTCATTTCTGATTTTTGTTTGTGCATGTTTCATACTGGAGAATGTTCCATGTGCTATAGAGAAGAAGGTATATTCTGTAGTGGTTTGGTGAAATGTTCTGCAGATGTCTGCCAAATTCAATTGGTCCAACATGTACTTTAATTCCTGTGTTTCTCTATTGATGTGTTGCCTAGATGATCTGCCCAATGTTGGCACAGAGGTGCCGAGGTCCCACACTATTATTGTATTGGGGTCTATATTTCTCTTTAGGTCTAGTAGTATTTGCTTTATATATCTGGGTGCTCCAGTGTTGTGTGCATGTATATTTATGATTGTTATGTCTTCTTGATGGATAGACTCCTTTATCATTTTATAGTGGCCTTCTTTGTCTCTTTTTATGGTTTTTGGTTTAAAATCTATTTTAGCCTATAGAAGATTAGCTACTCCTGCTCACTTTTGGTTTCCGTTTGCATGGTATATCTTTTTCCTCCTTCACTATTAGCCTGTGTGAGTCTTTACAGGTGAGGTGAATTCTTGTAGGCAGCATAAAGTTGGGACTAGCTTTTTAATCCAGCCAGCCAGTCTATTTCTTTTGAGTGGGGAATTCAATCTATTTACATTTAGAATCATTATCGAAAGAAAGATATTGTCTTACTCCTGGCATGTCATTAATTTTCATTTCATTGTTTTAAATATCTTTTTTTCCTATCTTTCCCTTTTATTGTCTTTGGTGCTCATTGGTTTTTGAGGTGGTAAGATATATTTTCTTTGTCTTCCTTGTTTGCATATCTGTTCTATCAGTGGGTGGTGTTCTTTCTTGTGTATTCATGGTGGTGATTATTGTTTTTTTGGTTTATAGATGTAGGACTTCCTTATAGATTCTTGTAGGGCTGGTCATCGGGTGAACTCACATGTATTGGTCATATATGGCAGGGGGGCCTGCATGACCAGGCTGGCCATGTCGGTGGCAGGAGGGGTGGGATCTGCACTGCAGTCAGCAGCAGCAGGGAGTGGATGAACCTCTCTGTGGGAAGGCTGGTGATGGTTCTAGGCCAGACAATGGCACCAGCGACTGTGGCAGTGGTGGCAATAGGCCTGTTCTAGTCTTCTATGGAGGAGTGCACCTATAATCTACCATCTTTCCACAATCCCTTCTAAATACTTCTTATACAAGAGTTATGTGCCAAAACTTTGTGAGGTTCTATAACCTTATAGAAGCAATGAGATTCAGGGAAGAGATGAATTTGTAACTGCTTGTGACTGATGTACTTTAAGAATAATGATTATCACAGTAAAATACAACATAATAAATAAAGATTTTAAAAAGTTCTTTTAAAGCTAGTCTCTGATATTTGGTTTTCTTGTTTTGTTCTATTGGTGTCTGAAAATCCACATCTTAATTTTCAGAGATGGCAACGTCTACAAAAATAGAATTTGGATATAAATGAGAAACTAAACAAAGTTTCTTCTAAAAAAACAAAAGGCTGGGCCGGCCCGGTGGTGCACTTGGTAGAGTGCGGCATTTGGGAGCACGGCGGCGCTCCCACCGAGGGTTCGGATCCCATATAGAGACCGGTCCGCTCACTGGTTGAGCGCGGTGAGGCTGCGACACTGAGGGTTGCGATCCCGTTGCTGGTCGCGGTACGGGTGCGACACCGAGGGTTGCGATACCGTTACCGGTCACAAAAAAGGACAAAAAAAAAAAAAAAAGGCTTAGCAAGAGAAAAACAGAGTACCCTTATTAAACTATAGAAAAATTTCAACATTGCTGTTTAAGAACCAAGTTAAAATGAGATGCCATTTTTGCCTATCAGATAAACAACAACTGCAGAATTTGATAAAGCCAATGTTAGTGAAGAAAATCAGCCCTCTCATTCACTATTAGTGAGATCATTAACTAGAACAAAATTTTGGGGAGACAATTTTGCAATATCTGTCTAAGTTGAAATGTACATACCCTTTGCACCAGCAATTCCATTTTATCCTGGCAAAGTTTGCCAAGATGTATAGCTCCAAGATACTAACTAAAAAGTTGTGATAGAGAAAAAATTCTTCAGAAAAAGAAGTGCCCATCAATAAACACTTAGTAAAAAAAATTGTCATATACTGGTACAGTGGAGTATGATGTGGTCATTACAAAGATGTACTGACATGGACAGATGCTCAAAATATATTGCTATATGGAAGAGCAAGTTATAGACAATTATGGACACCATAGCCCAATTTTTGTTAACACACATACATTTGCTTCTGATTTCTGTTAATAAACATGCATTTGCTTTCATATTCCTAGGAAATTTCTGGAGTTATACAGAAGAAACTGTAACCAGGAGTTATCACTGATGGTGGGAGGAGGAAAGGGGACTTACAGTTTTCCACTTTGCATTACTTTACAATGAGCAGTAATGACTTTATAAGAATATAAAAGATTTTAAACTAACAGTGTAAAAGAATATACAAGCCACAATTTTTAAAAAAAATTATTGGAGCTTACAAACATATAGTAAAAATCTGAGTCATTATTTGATTGCTTATTGCATCTCCTTCTCAATTCAGATATTAAAGCTTAAACAGAAAGAAAAGAGGTATGTAACATATAAAACATTTTCCTTTTTCCTCACAATAAATTTAAAGCCTCGAAGAGTTTAGTTTAAGATCTTTGTGACTTTAACCATACCATAATCTGATAATATGTAACAGACTGCAGATTAACATATCCCAAACAGTGGCATTGCTCTATGGCTTCATCTCTTTTGGTTTCTGAGGCAAGGGGAGAGGCAGGAGGTGGGAGTAAGATTTATGTGGGTCATACTAGGTAAGGCATTCAACTACAATCACTGTAGGCTTTAACAGAAAGGCAAAAGCTAATTGTGACGTTCTTTTCAATCCTGTGCAAATTAGAGTCCTCAGTGGCACCAGAGAAAGTAAAGAATTCTAGTTCTTTTCCTTTATCTCTTTCCTTCTTTTGTTTTCTTCTTTCCCACCTTTGCCCTTTTCCTCTCTCCCTCTCTCTTGATTGTAAGCAGAGGAGAAAGAGATATATCCAGGTTCTCTAAATTTTACTGAGATGTGTTTTATGAATGGGTTTTCACTTTCAAATTCTTAACCACTCCATGTCAAATTTGAATTTCATCAAAATGTCAGTATCTTATGCGGAATGATTGCTTTGAAAAACTCCTGGCAGTTTTACATATGAAACAGATCTCAGTTCATGTAGAAGCCAGGTAATACTGATGGACAAGCTATTGAGACCTGGAATACAAATCGTGAACCCAGGGTTGAGAATTCCTACAAGATTGCAGAGTTTATCAAGTTCAAAGAAAACCACCATTCGCTAGGTATAGTCATTCAGAAACAAAAAATGACCTTTCAGTGATAAAAGTTCCTTTCAGATTTTATTTAGTCTAAAAAGCACAGTTTAAAATGGACCTATTTCTCACATAAGCTAATATGTAGAATGACAAATTCACTGCAGAAGAACTCATGGTGAGAAACAAAGTATTTACAAAAAACTTTGTGGCAGATGATGTAGAAAGTGAGACATTTTCAGAAGTGAGAGAAGTCTTTTCTTGCCAGCTGGTAGGTTGTACACTGGGTTCTGAGTTTAGAAAGGCCTCTATACAAACACCGTTAGCAATACACACATCAATAGTACGAATGTCTTTTATATCAGCTGTCTTACAAATTAAGTTGGGAAAACAGCTGCACTGAAATTTTTCAAAAAATTGTTGCAGGTCTTCAAGTGTGGGTTGTCCATGTACTGTGTATTTTCCACCTTTCCCAATTTGAATAGCAAAATTTGTTGGATTCAGATGAAGATAGTCACTTGAATTCCAGTGTTTCCTTGTACACACTCCTTTCTCATGGCAAAGCACTTGGCTACACATTTTGGCTGCTAGGGTGACATTGATTATGTAAGGATTTAGTGTAGTCTTCATGTAATCTTCTAGGTTCAAGCAAGATTTCTGTAAAATTATATGATGGTCAAGATATAAAGAGACAAGTTAGTTTGTATGTGAATTAATTCACTGCAGTAAGCAATTGTTAAGGAAGAACAAAACAACAGGCACAGCAAGAAGGAGGATTTATTTTATCTTTACCTTAAAAAGCAAAATTCTTTCAACTGTTTTATGTAACATTTGTAAGAAAGTTTCACATGCTGTTTCATGCAACAAATAATTGGCCAGTTGGGACTTAGCATACCCTAGCCTCAATTTTCCTCAACAATTCATTAACTAATGAGGGTCAGAATGGTAAATCTGTTAGTGTATGGGCTCTAGAGTCCTTTTGCCCTTACTGGAGTCCCAGTTGCATCAACAACTAGGTGCATGAACTTGAGAATCTCTCAAGCTTTTTAAGTCTTAGTTTCCTACCTGGGTGACCCTTGGCAAATCAATTAAACTGGTTATGCTTTACCTTCATCTTCAATAAAATGAGGATAATCATGGTAAGTACTTCACAGGGTTGTTGTATAGATAAAAAGATACAATGCATAGAAAAGGGCTTAACACAGGACCTAGCACATCTTCAATTAACACTCATTAAAATATAAATAAACGTAATAAGCATCACATTTCTCAGACAAGTTTAAACAGCACTGAAAAGAGTGGTTTCGAAATTGCTGGCTCAAAACACCTAAACAGGTTCAACTGAGTATACCTTATATTAAATTTTATGTGTAGTCAAGTTACAAGCAAATAATGATAGATTTTTTACAAATTTGGCAGAGTATGAGTGCTGAGTAACTGAAATGATTCATCTTGAGACTGGTATGTCCTAAAATCGGGACAATGTCCTTTTTAAAATATTAAAGATCCTCACTTTCTTTCATGGTCAGCATTTCCAGTTAGTGAGCTGGCCGTGCTAGTCCTTCAGCAGACCAGAGGGAGTAGTGGTGGTAGGTTGGCAGCAAGTCAAGGAATCACGGCAGCTTCCACTTGAATTGATTTCTTGTTACCTTCCTTGAGATGATGCCATCCATTGTTGGCAGCATATGGCCTTAATATGTCCTCACTGTAATCCCCTGGAATCTGTGACTATGTTAGCTTAGAAGGGACTTTGCAGATGTGACTAAGGGTATGGACCTTGAGAAGGGGAGATTATTCTGAATTATCAAGGTAGGCTTAGTCTAATTACGTGAGTTTTTGAAAGGGTAGGAACTTTCCCAGCTGGGTTAGAAAGATGAAATGGAAGGAGGAGGAGCAGTTCAAAGTGTAAGAAGGACTCAACCCACCAGTGTTGACTTTGAAGACAGAAGAAGAGTACCATGAGCTAAAGAATGTAATGGTGTCTAGAAGGTGGCGGTAGCCCTTAGCCAGCAGCCAGCCAGATAATGTAGATCTCATTGCTCCAACCGCAGGGAACTGAGTGCCAATGACTCAAGTGAGCAAGTGAGGATCCTCCCCTAGAGAGGAATGCAGCCCTGCCAACACCATGATGTTGTTAACTCATTAAGACCCAGGTTGGACTTCTGACCTACAAAACTATGAAATAATAAATTTCCATTGTTTAAGCCACTGTTTGTTGTAATTTTTATGGAAGCAATAGAAAACTAATATACTTTTCTTCTTCTTAACTCTCCAGTGGCTTTGGATGGTGTTTAGAATAAAATTCAACCACTTATGGTGTAACTGTTCGACCCTCCCACACCCACTCTAACTTAGACATCGCACTTGTTTCACTAGCATGGCAGGTTCACTTCAAACTGCACTTACTGTTTCCTCTGCTTGGAATGCTCTTTCCTCTAATTTTTAACATTGTTGACTACATCTTGTCATTCACATGGCAGCTTTAATTAGCCAATGCCCTTCTTGGATACCTTTTTGGTTGACTCTGTCACATACCTCTATTTTAATTCTCTGTATAGCACTTGCCACATCAAATATTTTTCCCTTTGTGTATTGTTCCTAAGCACTCATGAGCTCCAAGAGTGTGTGGACTTTGACAATATTCTACATTACTATATTGCCAGTACCAAGGATGTATGAGAATTTGCACCAAGTTCAGATGACACTGCAGTTGGTTCCTCAACTCCACAGAGACAAGGGTTAGGCAAAAAGAGGAGGAAAGGGATGAGAATGATTTGAAAATCATTAGAGCACATGAGATGTAGTCTATGAAAAGACCTAAGTCTGGGCTGTCTAATATAGAAGGCCTGGTTGATATCATATATATCCATGCTATAAATACTTCTGCTATGGCCAATTTAATTTCAAGCTACCAACCTGACATCACTGAATGCAGAATTGGGTATAGAGTACACCACAGTATGGTAGTATGGTGTGGAGTAGCATACCATTACATAGTATTTCCATGTATACAAGGATACTTCAAAAAGTTCATGGAAAAATGAAATTAAAAGCTAATACAAGTCATCCAATGAATTTTTTAAAGACACTGGTATAGATACCAGAATAATTGTAAATGCATAAAGAGCAAAATTAATGGTAATATGAAGTAAAAGAATGGATATATTTTGAGTATTTATTACCTTTGTTTTTAACATAATTTATTCTATTGTAAGTTCTACAATTTAATTTTTACTAATCTGATTTTGTGATTCACAAAATCACAAAATTCCTGAATATTTAACAATTAGGTCTCACAAGCTGGAACCTGTAGAGCTGCTTGGTCACTCCACTGAATCTAATAAGACAGAATGGAAGGAAATGGTTTACTTGTGTTTGTCTTATGTCAATTTCAGTAATTGCCAGTATACCTGCAATTACCAGTTTTTCAAGTTTCCAATGAATCAGAGGAAACATGACAAATACTCCGTGAACCTATTAATTACAAATGACATTAAAAAGGGGGGAAATAATGACAGAACTAGCATTCGAAATGATCATAAATTGGGAAAGGTAGCAGAAATATATAGAACAGAGTCCACAGAGGACACTATCAAGAAGATACCATTTAGTAGAATATAGTCATATTAAAGTTGAAAGACCATCTCTGAATAAATAATGCTGAAGATAATTTGTGAGGCATGGTAGTAGAATGTAAATCTCAGATTAAAGGGCCATTAAACAAGTGTGACACTTAAATAGTATGTCACATCATCCTACTTATTGGCCAAAGCCTGATTCATTTCTCATAAGAGTGGAGTTCTTTCTCACTTAAAAAAAAAAAAAAGGAAGTCATATGAAGATTTTATTAATGGTTCCATCATAGAATTAATAGAACACTTAAGAAAGGATTCGGGAAAACAAATAATATAAATTAGTAATATACTTAGAATTCTAGTTTTAAAGTAGGTTTCTGATATATAAAAGATATACCAAGGGACATATACATTGCTCTGAACTTATATTTTCTGTTATTTCTTTTTATTGGAGATCAAACTGGAGACAATAGAATTATACAGTAGGCATAAGGGCTCAAATTACCCTGAAAAAAAATTTACAGATGTGACTAAGTATTTTGAAATGAAATGAGAACATGACTACTCTATCTGAAGGACAAGAAATGAATATAATCTTCCTTAAAAGGACTTTTCTGGTCTGTGAGTGTAAAGTCTACTCTGTACAGCGTCTAGGGCAGGACCCCTGGGCCATGAGCTTCATTTGACATTCTCCAGGGCACGTTCATCACTAGTATTTCCACGTCCATCAGAGAAGGAAAAGTACAGCTCAAATTCAGCCGTGTTCATATGGAAGCTTTACTCTCGTATTGAGAGAAAAAGACTGAAGAGGTGGGGGATAAAGATCTGACAGGGAGAATTAAATAAGGAAAAAAGTGAAGAGAAACCTACCTTCTGACACCAAACACCATGTCAGGAAACAGATAACAGTCTTGTTTTTGCTACTTACTAGCCACGTAGCCTGGAGAATTTCAATTAATCTCCCTGAATTTCTGTTTCCTCACCGGAAAACGGGTACAATATTTTCTGCCTTACAACATAACCATACAAGTGCAAGATATCTTTATTTAGCCAGTATTAATTGAACACCTACTACCATGTGCCAAGCATAGTACTTATTTTCTTATTCCATACCAAAATAATCCTCAAAAACATTAAAAGTAGAAATATTTTCATCTATTTTCTACCAATTAAACTTACCTTTTTTCGCATTAAACCAAGGCTTCCCCATATAACAATTCCAGAGGCACCCAGAGCAACAGTTTCACCAAGTGTATTCACAAGGTCAACCTGGCAAATGTGACAGCAGATAGAAATGAAATAGAAGTGTTACACAGAGAACAATAACAGGGAAGCTGTGCATGCTCACCCAACAATAATAATTTAAATATTTATCCACTATTTATTTCTATATCTTACACAGCAACTGTCATACTATTAAGAAAAAAAAAACTATTATCCTTTTAATTACTTCTATTAACAAGAGAGCAAGTTTATGAGTAAAAAATAAACAAACTCAGTTAATACATTGTCTATACTGCCTAATTCTCCATGGTTGCTAAAAGATTATGAGAGTGTAATAACTATTAAACGTATTTTTATTTGGCATTCATATAATGATGTACAACTATTTGTGTGCATATTGCTAAATAACGTTAAAAGCTAAATTTTACTTCCTTTAAAAATGATATTAAATTTCACTAAGCACCATTTGTGGACATTATTTCATAGCCCTCATACCTTAACTTACCTCTGAAAGATATTTCATAGTTAGATCACTAAGAACTGGGCGGGCATATACATAAACTGGAACTGGATTCTTAGCATCAGATACTTTAGAAACCCTAATGGCTTCCTGAACACGATTACGGACATAGAGTGCACCTCCTCGAATAGATGAGACACTGTTCAAATAGATGGATGGGAAAAGGGCAGTGCTTTCCTTCCACAACCATTCGAGATCATCATTTCTTCTCCTTTCTATATCGTAGCAACTTCCATTGAAATTGGGTTTATTAAAACCATAGTTGTAACAATCAGGAAAAAGATAATAACCCCATAAGTGATTTGGTCGAAGTAATTTTCCCAACTTTAAAGTCTCTTGCATGAAACTCTTTGCTGCCTTTTCAAATTCTACTTTGGCTATCTCGGTGGCCTCTTTGACACTAAGTTGTATATTTTGTTGCTGAACCAACTCAATAGACTGATTCTTGTAAACATCTTTAGGTGCCCAGTTTCTTATCCAGGTGGGCCTCCATTCTTCCCAGTCTATGACAGCCAACCCCACATTGTCTGTTGGCATGTAAAAGGCAATGTCTTTTTCAGCTTTCTCCAAATGGTCTTTTAAGGACCCTTTCTGGGGGATTCCTCCATGCACACTTGTGCCTGTTATTTTATCTATATAAGGATAGTAGCCAAGTCTATCAATATAAAATATCGTAACCCCTTGCCGTGTGACATCTCTTCGGGGGCTTCCTACTAAAGAGAAGAGGCTCAGATCTATTGAATCACCAGACTTTCCAAAACAAAGTTCAGTTGGAGCATTCCAGGCCCAGAGGAAAGGTATATTTGGTATAAGAGGGGGTGCTCTGAAATTCAAAGTCAAGCAAGATGAAATCAGAAGGGAGGTGAAAACTGTCTGGGATAGTCCATTGGACTCAACAAAGTTCTCCAAAAAGATGTGTTTGAACCATAACACTCCCATTGCAGAGAGTAATGGCTATGAAAAACACTTGTTTCTTTCTTCACACTTTAGTTTCCCCAATATTTGATGCAAGGCATGAGCACAGATGGAAGATAGTGAAATGAAGCAGTTTCCGTGGATAAAGAGACATAATGATTATATTTAAATATTATTTTCTTGTTTCATGTTTCCAGAAAGTTTTGCAAGTTGCATTATCTATAACTGAAAAAAAATATAGAGAAAATATGTTTTTATGCTGCATTTCATCACAAAGACTGTAAACTTTACCAAAATCTCAACTTTAAATATGGGGAGTTTAATTCAAATTTAAAAGAGGGAAGACATACTCCTGTGTTTGAATCAATAAGATTATTACCTCTTAATATATGATAAAAAATGCTGTAATAGTTAATATTTGTCTCATCTTCCCAAATCATTACTGAGCCTTCAGTGAGATAAATGTCGCTATTTTTCCTTTTGCCTTCCCAGGTGTGCAGAATTTTGTACCTAGCAAGGCCTTACCAAAAAAACCCGTTGAAAAAAAATAAATTCCAAGTCAAACCTGTCATTCTTGTTTATTGCTTATTGAAAGCCTACTTTCTAATGGTGTGACAAATATTGAAAACAATCTCTCATAGAATTATAAAATTTTCACTTTTTCTTTTTTTCTTTTTTTGAAGGGGAATAGTAAGGAAAGAGGGGAAAGTCACTCCTGCCAGAGGTTACAAATCAAAAGTTTGCTTGAAAGTATTGAATCAACCCAAAACTCCAACCCAACAAGTTTAAGTGCTCTTTGTAACACTGCTTGATCAAGTCTTACAGTGATGTACCCATGTGTAAAGTTAATAAAACATTTAACTACTTTATATCTTTTACTAAAATGATTGGTTCTAACCTAGCCTAATAAAAGCAATATAAGAATTTTGGCATTTTTATAGTACTTGATAAGTGAAATTACATGTCATTCTGATTGTTACAAAGTGAAGTGCTACAGAAAATTTTTTGGTACAGTATAATGGTCTGAGCCAAAGACAAGAAATTAAATTATGTATTATTTAGTATTTGGTATTTGCAAAAATTACCTACAAGATGATGTATTTAAATATTCTGTGATTCTAGGAAGAAACTAGAACCATTTTAAAAAATTAGATTAGTAAATTCTGTGTATACTATGTGAAGGTTCAATGAGAATTATACCACTCTTCCCTGGAATGTTAAAGTGAAACCTTAAGAACAATTACAGTCCCATATTTTGAAGATGATTTTTTTCCCTCATGTTTAAAACATGTAGGGTAGCTAAAGATTTTTATAGCTTAAACCCTTATAAACTTCCCTAATCAGGGCCTAGAAAATCTTCACTTAAAGTAATACTGGGAAAAAAACTAACTCCTTTCAAATACCAACTACCAACACCAATGCTGAATGGCAGGGAGTGGGAGAAGGAGATGGAATAAAAGTTTAGCTTTCCCTATATCTCATGGAAGGAGCACACCAAGTTTATTGAAATTAACATTCAACTCTAATTTCCACGTGATCATTTTATATAAGAATAATATGGCACAGAATGCATCTACTGAGAAGGTCTTTACTCACAGAAATCTTCAAAAAAGAATGGACACTTCTATCCTTGAAAATTGAATGAATGAAATAGTTCTTCTTTAGTGTCAGTCTTCTGACAGTGTTGGAGCACAGAACTGGGGACAGACCTAGAAGTTAGCATCTAAAATAGCATCTTCCTTTTATTTAGAGCATCTAATAAAGACCTTTACCTGTTTAAAGCATCTAATACAGAACTTCATCTCCATGGAAAATCTTAACTGATTTAACCCCAGTTAATTAAAAGTTGAACTTATCTGCCACTAGTAATCCTAAAGTCTGTACTCAACTTATACCTATTGAATTGCCTCTTAAATGTCCTCCTTGCCCATTGTGTGGATAATTACTTCTTAAAGCACTCCTGCTAAGTCTTTGAAATCCCCCATCCCCAACAATGGTACTTACCCAGAAGCCTGCTTTCAAAGTCCAATCGTCCAACCTGTCTTCAATAGTATCAAGGCAAGAAGTGGGCTGGTCTCAGTGTCTTCCTAGAGCATTGGCAAGTCATTAGCACCCTCTTGAAAAAAAGTTTTTCTCTCAAAACAGATTTAAAAGCTTAAAATGTGAATACATCTGAAATCATATTTAAATTAAACTGTTATCCCTATTGTAAAGTAATTTTATCTCTGAAACATATGCTAGCTAAATCCTTTAAACAAGGAAGCCCTCGTCTGAGAATAACTCAAAAATTATTTTGTAATAAAAATTATACTAGCTTTATTTTATTATACACAAATAAAAATTACATGTGTAGATATTTGCATATGTAGTAGTCACCACTGTATTGAGGCATCTATGAAACAATAAAATATAAAAAGCAACTTCAATATTCAGTGATGAGAAATGCTTAAATAAGGTGTTTCAGCCTGAGGGAATTTATACAGATATGAGAACTAGTTATTAAGATCATGAAGAAATATGTAACGATGTTTGCCTAAAATACTGAGTAAAATAAAGTGCAAAAATACACACAAGTTGAGGTACACAATTACATGTAAGTACATGAAAGCATATTCTTGAGTAATTAAAGAAGGTTCAGAAATATGAAAGTATGTTTATATTTTCTGAGCATTTATTATATTTTTTTGATTCTCTAATTTTCTTTCATTCAATTATCATATCATTTCTCAAATAAAAAGTGGGAAAAAATAAAATTTAATGCTAGAAATTAGTTTACAAGAACAAATTTGAAGCTCCATTTATTTTTAGCAGGGAAAGGAAAATAACCATAAACCTTATTTTTTGGAAAAGAAGGTGGTAATTGGGATTTTTTTAAAAAATAAATTTTATTGTGTATATTTAAAGTATACCAACATGACATTACGGGAAGATTGGGATATTTGAGGTAAGGAGAAGAGGGTTGCAGACAAAAAAAAAGCCAAACAAAAGAGCCATCTTCTTGGCTTAATTCTTAGCTCTTCTTTTCCACAACAAATGCTTTATCTACGTAACAAGTGCTTTCTCTCTAGAAAATCATAATTAGATATAGGAGTCAGTCACAAGATAGCCCCCAGAATCTACCCCTTTGGTATTCCTATTTCAGCGAGTCCATGTATATTATGAAGTGAAAGAGGCCAGGAAGGAGAACCAAAGAAAGAACTGCAGTGACTCCATGTTCGAACTTTAAGTGACTTCTTCCCCAGGGCCAAAGAAATTGAATTCATTAACATCAGGAAACACTCTGTTTAGACAAAGATAGGTATAATCATTTGACTTGGTAACATAAGCATAATTTACTTTGTTCTATAGATCCAAATTGTCCTGGAAACCCAAGGTACTCACTTGCATTTTAAAACAATATTTGGAATCTTGTTTACTCCTTATTCTTTCCTGTTCTTTTATTATAAAAAAATCACTTGCTTTTTACCTCAAGGGGGCAGACTTTCCCCTCATTTTGAGAGGTAGTCTTCCCCAGTTTGCAAACTTAATGTATGTCTCCTTAACATTTCCTTACAGACTGAAGTGTTTTGCTTCAACAGTATTATTTCAGCAAAATTAAGAACTGAATTTAGATACAATCCACTTACCATTAAAACTGTTATAGATTTTGAATCTAAATTATTATTCTAAATATAAAAAGTCAGAAATATAGGCACATATTGATAAAGGCAAGATTATAACGTTGGTGCAAGCAGAACATAACATTACCGAAGGGAGGAGGGGCAAAGGAGAGATTCCCAAGGTTTAAGTCATTCACGGGGCAGTCTTCACTACTCCACGGTCCCAAGAACTAAACATGATAAAGGCATTGTTACAACACTAAACAAATACTCCCTAGCTTCTGGAAGTTTCAGGATACTGAATGTAATTTTAATGTATCTAGATTACCTTCATAAATACTGTGGGAACCATTCTTTAACATGAAATATAGAAAGCAAAATTTCAAGTGAGCAGAAGGCCCCAAAGTTACTGTCCTTGTATACTAATCACATTTGGTAGTCATGAAATTCCCTCATCTTTTTGTCTTCTTCTGAGTCCTCCAAACTCCTCCAACCTTTGCCAAACATCCAGTCCCAAAGCTGCTTCCACATTTTCAATATTTGTTATAAGCAACACCCTACTTCTCTCATACCAATTTTCTGTATTACTTTCTGTTCCTTATAACAAAATACCTGGAACTGGGTGATTAATAAACAAAATGAAATTTATTGCTTACAGTTTCTGAGGCTGGGCAGTCCAAAGTCCAGGGAACACAACTGGTAAGAATCTTGTCCTGATGGCAACTAGAGCAACTGAGGGTATCACATGGCAAATACAGTGGAGCAGAGAGAGACTAACCCCCTCATTCACTTTCCTTTTAAAACCCCCAGAATCATGCCCCTGACCACCAGTGTTAATCCATTTACTTTGGCATGGTTCTACAATCTAATCACCTCTTCAAGGCCCCACCTTTCAATTACTATAATTGGATTTCCCATCCTCAACAGTTACAGTGGGGATTAAGCCTCTGTGAGGTTGAGGGGCATCCAGTCTACAGCAGGAGTCCTATGCATTTTAGGCATAATGGAAGGTAACTGTGAACATGATCCAAGAAAATAATGTTAGGTATGACTACAACTAGCATTTTTTTTCCAAAATGAAGGTCACGACCTATTAGTGGGCCATAAAATCAATTTGATTGTAATGAGCATTTTTAAAAACAAGTAAAATAGGCTATAATAGAGTAGAATAGGTTAAGAGAGGGTAGATTAGTATAGTGTGGGAAAGCAAAATATTTTAGCCCCAAAATATATTTCTTTGACATATTTCAAGATGGCTAATTCAGGGAGACTGGAAAAGAAGATTAGATAGAAGGCTGGTTTTTTGTAGAAAAAGATTTACACCTATAAATGCAGATAGCCAGGCTTCCTCTCCTTTGGCTACTATCTATTCTTTCTGTGTGCAGTTGTGAGATTACCTGAAATATTTTCTTTTTTTTTTTGTCT